AATTATATTACTAAGGGTGGTTATAATACCACCATAATTTTTATTTGATACACCATATTTTAATTGTAGTTAATCTCCTTAATCTTTATTCGTTGTAGCAATTATTTCCTTAATTTTTTCGTCAAATTCTTATTTTCAACATTTCATTAATTAGCACATCTCGTCCTTAATGATGATTTATGTTAAAATATTTTGTTTTCATGCTATGAAATGAGGGGAAAAAAATATTTTTTCACACATTTTTTTTATAAATATGATAGGAAAATAATTTGGTATATGCTATTTCAACGGACTTTTTGGGATATAAGCTATTTTCAAATATAGAATGTGATGAAAAGTTTGAGTATAAGAATGCCATGAAAAATCGTTAGAGACAAATGATACAATGAGTAAATATTGAGAACCTTAATTGTAATTACAATGTGGTGTAAGAAATAAAAATTGTGTTGTAAATATAATTACCCTGTTACTATTTTTTTTTTTTTTTGGTATCGAATTCCGGTGCTCTTATTTTTTTTCAATAAAATCTCTTTATGAGCAAAAAAATTGTGGGAGAGAATTTTTAAGAAAATATTAAAAGATTGCATTTGTTCTTTCCAAATTTCAAAATATTGTGAATCAATTCCAAAGCACCAGATTCCCTCCTTTTAATTAATTAAGAATTTCAATATCCGAAAATTGAATAGACAAACAAAAAGAAATTCATTGGAATCGTCTCGATGAGTTGCAAAAAAATATATTTAATAAATAACTATTATATAATTAGAGATGTATATGTGTTATGTTCCCACTTAGAATTGTATACTATATTTCGTATTGTAAACTTAGGTAAGGTATATGGGAGACTTGATCATATATATATATATATAATAAACATGTAATCTAAGCCGTGTTTGATACACTAAATTAGATTCTGTATGGAATATTTTAGTATAAAACTATAATAGATATACTATGTGGATAGCATTAGGATGAATTAAGGTACATAGTATGTCTTAGTTTTTTATTGAAAACAATGTAATTTCGCACTATCTTTCTTAAACTAGTCGGATAGCTCAATACAGAGTAAGAAGGTGTATTTATGTTTGGACTCGAAAGATATTACAAATTATTATTCATTTGAATGAAAGATTTGTATATACTATCAACCTTAATCTTTCTAAATTTCTGTACAGTTTCTTATATGGTCTAATCGGGTGTGCAAAATGTAACCATAGTGTTGTGCAATGTTCCGTACCAAAACATGAAGTTCAATGCAAAAGCTCAAACAAAAGTAGTAGAAGAAGACACAAATAGAAGGCGTTTGTTTTAACATTTCTTTTGCCATGAAAGCGTTTTCTTCATTCTGAGTTGTCCCAAATAATCGAGGATTCATAAACGACATCCTGAATTTTACTTATAAGTTAAACTAACGTGAAACTTATAAGATAAAGAAGCATTATGAATCTCTAATAAAAAAAAATGATCGAAAAATATAGTAACATCTTTACCCCATAACAAGATATGTAATTTTTTATTTTTTTTCCTTGTCCCCTGGGGCACGTCCAAGTTGGCAAAGGATGGGCAATGCTGGGCTTGCAACCTCAGGGTTGGAAGTTCGATTCCTGGACGGAGCAACTGAATGTTGTAATACTTAATTTGGGTGGAGCAGTTTGGTGATGTAATGTCCATGGAGGAAGGCTCCCTTGGGGCCAGGAGTATAAAGGGTGCACAGACCCTGGTCAACGTGGGCATATCCCGCGGTTAACCTC